CGAGCAGGCGGGCCCTTTGGTGGCTCCGCGCCCACATTGGGCTGCGCGCGCCCCCTGGTGGCCACGAAGAACCCTTGGGAGCAGGAAGGGGGCGGAACCCGAGTCGCAGAGCTGTGTGGAAAGTTAGAGAGGGGAGGCGCTCGCTAGCCAGCGGGTTTGTGACTCAGAAAGCGGAGCCTGGCACAGAGTAGACGGTGGAAGGTAGCTGGACAAGGCAGCCTGCGGAGACGGAGAGACAATCGGCCTGAAAAAGGCAGGAGCGAGGAACGTTTGGGGGCCTAACGGGTGGCTCTTGCTCTGTGGCGGCATGAGGGATGCACCGTGTGACCAGGACCGCGTCACGCCCCTCTCTTCCCGTCGGTATCCTTTTCTCCGCAGGTCCAAACAGCAGCAAGCAGAGAACCACAGGTTGACATGGGAGGCACATGGAGAGGATTGAGGCAAGGGTCTCAAAGGGGCAGGGAGGGGCTGAGGATTTAGCTCAGCGGCAAAGCGCCTGCCTGGCAAGTGCAAGGTCGTGAGTTCGATTCCTGGTACCGGAAGAAAAACAACAACAAAAGAAAAAAAGACTATTAGCTTCCTTGCCGGGCGTGGTGGCGCACGTCTGTAGTCCCAGCACTCGGGAGGCTGAGGTAGGAGGATCGTTGCGAGTTCGAGACCAGCCTGGGCTGCAAAGTGAGCTCAAGGCCAGCCTGAACTGCATATTAAGGCCCTGTCTCAAAAAGACAAAAATCAACTCCATGTGGATTAAAAACCTAAACATGAAGCCAAGTATGGTGATACATACCGGTGATTTTTGGGGAACTGAGGCAGGAGGATACCAAATTGGAGCTCAGCTTGGGTCTTCGTGACTTATACCCTATTGCAAAATAAAAATAAAAAGGCTTGGAATGTAGTTCAGTGCAAAGGCACTGGGTTCAATCCCAGTACCACAAAACAAACAAACAAACAAAACTGAACATGAAAAGTAAAACTTTAAGCCAGGTGTGGTGGTGCATGTCTATTAATCCCAGCAGTTTGGGAGGTTTAAGGCAGAGGTTCAAGGCTGACCTGGGGTACATAGTGAGTTCAAAGCCAGCCTGAACTATGCAGCGAGATCCTGCCTCACAAACAAACAAAAAACAACAACAACAATAAAAAACTAAACATTTCTTATAAAGAAACAGGAGGTTATTTTCATTACTTCAAAATTATTTTCTATAATATAAAAGCAGCTTGCAGAGGAAAATATTTCAAAATGTATCACAAACAAAAAAAACCTTTAAACATTTCTTATAAAGAAACAGGAGATTGTTTTCATTACTTCAAGATTATTTTTGATAATATAAAAGCAGCTTGCAAAGGAAAAGATTTAAAAATGTATCCACAATAAAATGAAAAGCTTCTGTTATAACACAGTAGTAAAATGTCTGAGCAAGCACCAAGCTAGAAGACATTTGCAGGCTATTCATATGCAGAATATATAAGTACATGGATATCTGTACAAGATATAAATAGGCACTGGACAAAAGAGAAAGGAAGAATGGTCAATAAATATAAAAAGAGCCAGGCCTGGTGGAGCTTGCTTGTGATCTCAGCACTTTGGGAGGCTTAAGCAAAAGGTTCAGGCCCAGCCTTGTTAATTTAGCAGCTTAGCAAGAGCTTGTCTCAGAATTTATTTATTTTTTATTTTTTGTCTTTTAGAGACCGGGTCTTGCTATGCAGTTCAGGCTGGCCTTGAGCTCACTTTGTAGC